GATCACACAGCAGCTGAGTGGGAGACAAAGACTGAAACACATCAGTTGATTTCAAAGCTAGTGCTCGTGTCTGCACCACCATCTTCTCCCCGAGCGTCAGCTTCCTTGTTTGTAAAGTGGGTATGATTGTAATACATACCTCGTAGGTTTATTTCAAGAGTTTACAGAAGGCATTGCAAGGGGGAGTGCCTTTCAAATTGCTATACAAATGCCAGTTGTTGTCATTGTCAGACACAACTAAATAGCATGAATAACAGAAGAGACTGACTTCTCCTTCTGCACTTCTGATAAAGGCTTGTGAAGATAGCCAGGTGAGGCTGATGAGGTCTTTATTCCATCTCACCTGTGCCACTTAGTCAGCTATAGGGAGCTGAGAGCTGGCCCTCCTACCCAGCCCAGTGTGCTGGGAAAATCACATTCATGTGAGAAGCTGAGACATGCTAATCAATCATTTGTGCCAAAAGGAGCAGGTGAGCTTCTCTTACCTGGCCTAAGATAACAGCTAATCCATGTACCCATCACCCTACACCTCATTATGGTCGAGATGCATTCCTGCATCTTCCCTTCCATCCAAGTTTTGGAAAGCTTACTCATGATTTCCCAGTGCTCTTCCCCTTTCAAGGCATGGTCAAAGGCCTGGAAATGACAACTCTGTACTCCACAAAGTGCTTTTTAACCCCACTAATTCTTTCAATCTTCACAACAGCCCAGTGAGGTGGATATGATTATCCACACCTATTTTACAGATGAAAAGATTGAGGTCAGAGGAGCTAAGCAACCTGCCCAAGAGAGAAGAGAGAAGCAGAGGAGAAGCAGAGGAGCTTGAGCAGTCCACGTGTGCTTTCATGCTCAGCTCCTAACACCCAAGAGTGGGCAGAGGCATGCTGTGTGTCACCACCCTGGGGCAGGTGCTCAGTCTAGCCTTGGTGGGAAGCAAGGAAAGGCAGTGAGTGCCCCACAAGAATGTCAGCAACCACGAGGACCCCTGGGAATACTCCATCTAGTGAGAGGAAGAACAGAGCACATGCATGGACCAGAATGACATTTGTTGTTGGCCCAGAGAGAAGGACAATTGGTTGAACAGGGGATGGGATCTGCTAGGATGTGATGGAGACAGAAAGATAGGAAGAGGGGAGCAAATGACATGCCACTTAGACTGTATGCTCCCAGGGCTGATGCACGGATACATCAGTACAATGTGAGCAGCCTGTGGATCCATTCCTAAGCTCCCTCCCACTAACACTCAGGGCTCAAAGAAAAGGGACCCTTGGTCTCACTCTTGGGTGCTCACCTTCTTCCCAACTGAAAGGTATGGGGAGAGGGGGAAACTTAAACTGGAACAAAGTAGCCAGGGCAAGGATTTGTGGGCACTCCTCATGGGCCACACTGGAATGAGCCAGCCTAAGGCTATTTTGATCCTAAGGCATCAGATGGTCCGCTGTTTGTTGGGGTTCCATGACACCGTCCAGGAAGTCCTCCTGGGTGGTGGCTTCCTCCAGTGTGGCCACACTGGTATCGTTTCCCTGTGGCTCTCATCCCCTTCCTCTCAGTGCCTTAATGCCTCAGTCTAATCCAACCACAGCTTCTCAAGCAGATCTCATTTACCATGAGACCCCCTTTTTCTTGTACACACACGCACACACACACTCTCTCCTGTTTGGCAGGCAGAATGCCAGGCTTGCTATCTCCAAAGAAGACCTCTCTTCCTAATCTCTCAAATTCTGTACTTCAATCTTTTAAACTCTTGAGGTAGATGATGAGGTAATGGTGGCAAAATTAGTGTCCAGCCATCTCTCCACAAGTCTTGCACAGATGATTTAGATTCAGCATCTCTCTTTGAAATGAGGGGATGTTTTTACACTCATTGTTTTGTTTCCCATCTGTGGGACTGAGGAAAGAATCCCATTTTAGCAGGCTGTCACAGAAGCACAGGCAGATAGGCATATATAGGCATACAGGCATATTACCCTCCTTGCCACAGTGTTTATCTTGGGCCTCAAGCTCGCTCTCTCTGTCTTCTTCCTATCCAGTGTAACTAGATTTCTATCATATACCCTGGCTCCCTGATCCACAGGTTTCCTCATAGAAGGCTCAGTTGACTAACGGTGTATGGTTAAGCTTTAAAAAGCCTGGACCAGAAACCAGGCGGCCTTGCCGTCAGTCTCACTGTGCCACTACAGGACCACAGGACCCTGAGCAAGTCACTTTCTCTCTGTGGGCCGATGTTTCTCCTCTCTAAAATACAGAGATTGAGCTTGATGGTCTTTTCAGCCCTGGGATGCTGAGTTGGCCTGGGGGTTGTGCAAGCCAGAGCAGGGCAGTTCAAGGACAGAGATGACGCCAGAATCCCTTTGGGCAGTGCCTGACATTTCCACTTCCATCAATGGGTTGATTTGTTTCAGGTGACAAGATTGTCACAGGATCTGTCTCCTGCCTTAGGAACACGTACTCCCCCACTTCAGGATAGAAACAAAACAAAAGGGCAGGCTCCTGGGCCTGGGGGGCACCAGGGTGACCTCATGCTTCACCAGTTGAAGGAAGCTGCCTGTCAGGAATCGTCTTGTCCCACGATCCAAAATAGGCAGCGAATGGACAGGTTTCCAGGCTCCCCCTCCGCAAAAGACAAAAATATCATAGGCTCAGGGATGTTTTCAGTCATAAATCAATCAGCTAAGACTATTTCTGTCCTTATCCCTTGCCCAGAGTTCCTCCTACAACCTCCGTCCTGCCCTCCCGTCCCAGCCTCCCAGCCACCTAGCTCTGGAGTAGGGGAGTCTCATCAGCTGCCCTGATGACAGCTCAGTAGCTTGGCCATGCCAGCAGGAGAATCCTCACCCTGCCTATAAATGAAACGGTGGGCATTCTGGTGCCTCCGTCCACCTCCATGAGCCTGGCTAGCAACTGTCCACTCTGACAGGCAGGTGACTCCCGGTACACGCCAGGTTTCCTGGCCTATAAGGGAGCTGCCAACTGGTTGTGGTGGGCCCTTAGGAGTAAATGTCTCTGAGTAAGCCCTCACCATCGCCAGGGGTACGGCTTCTCCTTCACGTGGTTACAGGGGTTAAAGGGCCTACCTCATAAAACCACTGGGAGGATTAAACGAGACCCTATAGGTAAAGCATTCACCTGGCAAGTTGCAGATACTCTGAAAATAAGAATTGCCTTCTCCTTGCTAGCCATTCATCTGGAGCTCAGACTCCCACGGCTGACCCATGTCTTTGGCGAGCTCCTATGAGACTTTTGTCAATCTAAAACCCTAAGTCAGCTTTGAATCCAGCTCTTGGGGAAGCCTCCGAGGACATCTGGTCTACACAGAGATCCTAAATCAGTACCTAGTGGTTAACAGATGCAACGCAGCTGGGCCATCTGGACAATATTGCCCCTTGTTCAATCTTCTACTGCCCTCTGCAGGCTTCAGGCCATACTGCAGGCAGTGTAGACTGCATTCCTTGTGCAATCCCAAAAAGACCAAGGCATCTCACTGCATGGACTCGAGGCACTTTAAGACAACAGGGCAAGGCAAAGTGTCTGAGGTGGACGATGCCGCTGAATAGCACAGTGATTTCTAGTTGACAGAGCACTTGCTTGTTGGATTTTCATGACCAGTCTACTCTCACCTTGGTACCTGAGCACAGAAGGGAATTCTGTGTCACTGCTTTGCCCCAAGAGCTTCACTAACAGCAAGTGACAGTTCTCAGGCCCCGCCCCAGAACACCCCAGAAAATCATCTGAAATGGACCTGGATCTCAGTGTACATACTCATTTAGTTTTTAAAGCTCTTCTACCTTGACCATGCTGTAAAACAGCCAGCATATCTAGGATACTCTGGAGAAGGGAATTTTGTAAGAAAGTGTGTGTGTGTGTGTGTGTGTGTGTGTGTGTGTGTGTGTGTGTGTTTTCAAGAAATGAAGGCTGGCCAAGATACTGAAGATACTAGGATTTGGTGTGATGATAATTAATAAGCATTTTTCACACGCCAACCAGCTGACAGTTTCATTTATTAGTGACATCAAGCACCAGTCCAACTATATCATTTCCATTATCCTCCCTCCATGGACAGAACCACAGATTCTGTCTGGCAGAAGGTTGGATTTATACAGTGAAGGCATGCGACAGTGACACATTGTCCACCCAGCACCATGTAGGGATTAAATCACCTGCTGGAGCAATAAAAGGGATGTTTGTTCTTCCCTTGTTCTCTTTACCAACCGCAGAAACTTGAGGGGATCTAAGCAGAGTTCATGAGGCCCAGGTATCATATGACAGTAAGAAAACCAAGTCTTAGATAGCTGCAGATCCCTTACATAACTGGAGTTTTCAGGTCATATATTTATAGACTTTTAAAGCAGAAGACAGGAGACAACCCTTTACTGCAACCCTTATGTTTGCAGTAAAATGGATCACAGGAAGGGGAAATGACAGGCCAAGATCACAAAGATAGAGACAGAAGAGACAGAGCTGGGATGAGAACCCAGGCTTCTTGGCTCTTCTACCTCTGGTTGAGCTTGATTTTGACAGCAGCATTTTTATTTCTTTTTTTTTTTCTTCAGAGACAAGATCTTGCTCAGTCGCTCAGGCAGGAGTGCAGGGGTGCAGTCACAGCTCACTGCAGCCTCAACCTCCTGAACTCAAATGATCTTTCCACCTCAGTCTTTCTAGTAGTTGAGACTACAGGCATGCACTATCCAGACGACAGGAGCTCTCTATGTTGCCCAGGCTGGTCTCAAACTGCTGGGCTCAAGCAATTCTCCTGCCTCGGCCTCCCAAAGTGCTGGGATTACAGGCGTGAGCCACCATGCCAGGCCTGCTAGCATCATTTCTAGGTGGAAATTACTTTGGCTTCAAATGTAAAGATTAAACATAATCTTTTTTTGTAAATACTCAGAGGAAGGGAAAGAAATCTAGAACATTGTAGGTGCTCAATAATTGAGTTGGTTGGATTTTTGTGTTATAGAGTAATCTTGCTTTATGCAGCTTAACAAAATTAGATTCAATTAGCCTTGAATTTGTTTCATTCTTTATTCTTTCCAATGATTCAAAGATTGTTAGAGGATTTAATCTTACCCCGCTACCTCACTGCAAAATTTGAGTATAGATTCAAGGTTATGCTTTGCTGTTCATTGGTTTGAAGGCAAGCCTTTCAGAGGAAGGCACACAATTTAAAGTAACTTTGGTTTAAGCTTCTAGAGGTTTGTGGGAGTCCCTTTTGAAGGACAGACACCATCAGAACTTGAGGTTATACAGGCTGTCCAGTAAGTGGGGAATAGCACAAACCCTTCCTGACCCTATTCCAAATACATGATTAGAACAGACAGAAAATGACCCTAATTGCATATTCACCATTTAGGCCTAACAGTTTTGAATTTGCTTATCATTCTGTTTATAAATTACATTTTAATCAAAATCTCCCAATGCATTCACTTATCTTCCAAATGCCATCCTGACGAATTAGGATGAAAAAGTCACAGAATTAGTCACTGTCATTCTGTGACTTTAATAGATCCATGTTCTGTGGTATGTTCCTCCTGCTCCATGGAAGCCCAAATGCAGCACAAGAAGACTCTGCTGAGGACTCTCTCTTCAGACCCTCACAGACCAGGGTTTGCAGTTTTCTGGTACACCAGTGACACACTAGGAAGGAATGATAGTGTTCTCATTGCCAGGGTCTGCTGATCATGCTCCTCCCACCCTCTTGCATACCTCACCTCCCACCACTGCCAACCACCATTCCAAGGCCAAGCACTACTCGGCAGGCCCAGCTGTTGAGAATGCCCCAGGGCAGGACTCCTTAATTTCCTAAGCCATTCATTTATTTTCATTGAGTACTTTCCATGTGGCAGGCATTCTATTAGGCTTTGGAGATATGGTGATAAACAATACAGATGCGATCCCTTTTGAAACTCACGGTCCTTAAAAAGTTTATAGAATCAGCTGCTCATGCAAATCCATGGCAAGAATTTTTAAACGGCTGGTATGTTGTAACATAGAAACGAATCTTTGTTTCAGGTCTGGGGCCATGGAGAGCTTACTAAAATGACTGAGTTCTGCATCAGACTGTTTGCAAAGAGCTCACCTTGCAACCTGTGGGAGCTTATTGGCAGCCCACTCCTCTCAGGGAAATGGGTTTGGGTGATTGTCAGCATTGGGAGCCATACTGGGAAGGTTCTGGGCTGTGGGTAGGTTGCTACACAGCTGTGGGCATCTTCACTGCCTGGGGGTGCCACATGGTTTGTGTAGTTCTCACTCCATAGCTAAAGCTCTTGGTAGACCCAAGGAAGACCTGAATGGGGACCCACATGCCTCCTTCACCCGCTGTGTTGAGGTCTGGGGATGGCAGATTTGTCTGCCCCTGGGGCTCTCCTGTGCCCTCCCCACTTGGGACCATGTGTACCCACTTTACCTCTAAATCCAAAAGGCTTATTGAATTTTAAAAAGAGGAAGCCCAACCTGAGTATCAGGAACAACCCAGTCCTGCTAACTCCACACAGGTTGCAGTTGCAAAGGCAATTAAAGCCACAGTGCAGAGCCCACTTCAGCACCACTCAGAGGCTGGGCCGGTTCTGAGATCCTTACAGTGGAAGCAACCATCCTAGCAAAGTCTTCTTTTGTCAGGCATTGCCAATGACAAGTATCACATAGGTGCTTGTTAAAGTGATTCCAATGACTATGGAATTCTTCTACTACTTCCTGCCACATACACCTTCAAGGCAGTAATCAATCACACTATAATGGAATCATCTGGTTTCCCAAGGTTGCAAAGTCCTCAAGGACACCTATGCGTCCCCAGAATCAGAATGGTACATGATAATCACAGGACAAATACGGTTGATCTAATTAATTATTTCCTCTTTTTCCCTCTATCCCCCCAATATTCATACAGAGTCCTTAACATAAATTAAAACAAAAATGCTAGCGACTGACTGATACTAAAGATTAGGCTCTCTGGAGTTTCATCCATCACCCTTGTCTAGATGGAAAATAACAAAATCTGTGAGTTATGACTGTGAACCACACATTCCTCCCATCTCTAAAGAGGCCCAGCTACAAGCTACAGCTTTAAGGAGGTTTCTCGTTATTCTCTTGCAAGTTTGAGTGTGTGTGCTGCATACCATGCACAATGAAGGGTGGCCATTGATGCAAGGCTGCCCGGTTAAGAGAGAGCCCAATACCCCTCCTCTGTGCGAACCTTCCCTGCAGTTTGCCACCCTATCCCTGGCCTCCCCTGGACTGGGTGGACTCTTGAAGGGCATCATACCAGGGTAGTGAATCTGTCCATGCAGGCATTGCGGATCTTCTCCGGAGTGGCAGGGCTGTCTAGCCGGAAGAGTTCCTTCACATTATTACCTGTGTGCTGAGCTCGAGCTGCACGGATTGCATCTTTGATGGCAAAGAAGATAGAAGCAGCCAAGAAGAGGGGTGGCTCTCCAACAGCCTGAACACAGACAGGGCACAGGGCAGGGGCTCAGGCAGGTGGTCCCACCTCCACATCATCAAGTGGACCTAGGAGGCCAGGCAGCAAACTCTGCACGAGGAGGGCTGGTGGCACCAGGAAAGCACTGATGGGGGCCACACCGAATACAGCGGGAAGGCACAGTCAAAACTGATCAGGGGCTAAGAACAATCAAGCTAGTACATGACCGGACCTCATGGACATATTTCTTTGAATACTCATTGTGTAATTTTCTCTGATGACATCATGCAAATATAATATACCATTTAAAGTTATACTCGGTAATTATATTTTACAGACCACAAAATCTGATGTGAGTTTTAACCTTTTCCTCAGTCACTAGCCGAGGACCTGCAACTCTACAGCCAACATTTACAGGCACCATAGTCATATTACAGCATTTGCAGGAATTATGGGCATAAGAACAAACAAGAATTAAAACACTTTCTAGCATAGGTTGGTTTTTCTCCCCCCAAAGTAGAGATCAGAGACCACCTATATCAGAATCACTAAAGATACTTGCTGAAAATGTAGGTTCCAGGGTCCTAAGACACACCCATTGGAGCAAAATTTCTGGGTGTGGGCACAGAGCCAGAGCCAGAGCAATGGTACCTTCGATGCATAGATGGCCTTCTTGTTGGGGCAGTCGCGGAGCAGGGACACCCTGAACTCAATGGGGATGCTGCCAAATGCTGGGATCTTGTAGGTGCTAGGGCCGCGGGTGTGCAGGCTCCCCTCGGGGGAGTAGTGTAGCTCCTCTAGGGTGAAAAGGCCTAGGCCCTGGACAAATGCCCCTTCCACCTACAGGATGGATGGAGAGCACAGTTAGCTTGCCTCCCTCTTCCCTGAGGACAGATACCATTTGCCACAATGGACACAAAGCGCCACCTGCAGTGCAGCCTGGAATGTAGCTAAAACAGCCCTCTATTGCTTACCTGGCTCCTGCCCCAGCCCTGGGATAACCTATCTGGACTTCTGCCAGGCTTTGGCTCAGACAGAGCAAAGACATTAACACGGAAGGTCAGTGATTCTAGGAAGGTCATGCTGGTGGGCGTGTTTCCCATTACCACCTGCCACAGTGCAGATGGAGATGTTCCTTCCATGTTGCTGCTGGGGAAATGGTGAGCCAAAGCTGAGAAGCAAGCTCACAGGAGGATTTATTTGAAGTAGATTCTCTGAGACTTACCTCCAGCCTTTGTGAATGCCCACCCTGCCATTTTCTCTGGGAGAAAGTGCCCTCACTGCAGTTCAGCTTACAGGTCTCTCCTAGGGTAACTGCCATGCTAGACAGGCCCACACATCTGCTCTCTCAGCCCCCTGCTCAGAAGCGTGACATGGGGCACTACCATACCTCAATGAGCATTCAGAAAAGAAACCGGCTGGCAATCACCTTTGGGTCTACAGTGCCTGGCTTGGTGCCTGGCCACAGTAGGGGACCATAAATGGTTGTTCAATGAATTAACAAACAGATTGACTAATGGCCAGATTTTCGTATACTCAGTAGTTTTCCATTTTTGAGAAGTACAATTTGTATTTTCTACCAGATGCTCAGTCTTGAATTCTTAATTTCTCCTCTGTTTTCTCCTATTTCATCTATTCTTTATTTTATTTTATTTTTTTGAAACTGAGTCTTGCTGTATCGCCCAGGCTGGAATACAGTGGTGTGATATCAGCTCACTGCAACCTCCGCCTCCCAGGTTCAAGCAATTCTCCTACCACAGCCTCCTGAGTAGCTCGGACTACAGGTGCACGCCACCACACCCAGCTAATTTTTGTATTTTTAGTAGAGACGGAGTTTTGCCATGTCCAAGCTGGTCTCGAACTCCTGACCTCGGGTGATCTGCCTGCCTTGGCCTCCCAAAGTGCTGGGATTACAGGTGTGAGCCACAGGGCCCAGCCCTATTTCACCTATTCTTCCTAGTAATCCGATATTTTCCTAAAGCGATTTTCTCTGGGACCTCCCTTTACTACTTCTGCTTAAGCCTTTGTGTTTTGCTCCCAGGAGCCTTCCACCACTCCATGTTTGGCAGCATCTGCTTCCTGGGGTACAAAAGCTGTTCTGGGTGGAGGAGGAACGAGAAGACAGAAAACTCCTCTGACCTCAGACCCGCTGTCTGGGCATTGATCCCAAACTCAATCTCCATTCTACACTGTGCTTGTACTCAAATTGGGTGTGTGTGCACGTCCACATGTGCATGCCATGTTCCCCATTCCTCATCTTGTTCTTTGAGTTGTGAGTGCCCTTCCCAAGTTAATCTATATTAATTTGCTTTCTGTCTTGAGAGTTGGTTGGGCTATCACCAATCTAAATTCTACTTTGGGGAGAACTCCCTGGATTCCATGTTTCAGCATGTTTGAAGACAACCTTGGACAACATGCTGTGACTGGTGGCCCCAGGAGGGGAATGGGCCACATCAGTGGCCAAGTTTGTCACCATCCTGGTCTCCCAAGCCTCACCTGTCCAATATCAATGGCAGGGTTTAGACTGGAGCCAACATCCATGACAATATCTGTGCGGAGGTTCTAGAGGAGACAGCAAAATTACAAGCAGTTAGAGAAGAAAAAGATGTTTGGAATATGATAGATGACTCATGGTGACCCTCAGACTACAAATGCCAACCAAAGGGTACGTTCGCAAGCAGAAAGCCCTGGGTGTACTCAGGCAGAAGTGTTAATATTCCCACCAAATCTCTACTGCCACCATCACTGCTGGAGTCTGAGTTTGTAGGAGTAGGGGATGGGGAGCAGCAATGATCTCTCAGTAACTGGAAATAACACACATTCATACGTGAGTAGTCAGACAGGGTCCCAGCCTGGGGCTTTGGATCTGAGTCTGGGTAGATCATGTACAAAAGAGTCCATATACTACGTTCCATGGGCTGAATCCAACTCGCCCCTATTTTTGTGGGGCGTGTTGTAATAATAATTACATTATTAAACAGCTAGAAAAAATAAAAAGAAGAATACTTTGTGACAAGTAAAAATTGTATGAGATTCCATTCAAATTCAAATTTCAGTGTCTATAAATCATATTTTATTGGAACAGAGTCACACTTATCGGTTTACAAGCTGTCTGTGACTGCTATCACACTTCAATGGTAGAGTTCGGTAGCTCAGGCAGAGACTGCCTGGACCACAAAGCCTAAAATACTTATTCTGTGGCCCTTCATAGGATGTTTGCCTATCCTTAATGTAAGGCATTATTTTTCCAACCAGAAAGTTTGTCTCTATCAACTTTTGGTATTACAACTCAGTTGTTTCTCTTTCTTTCCCACTAAGTACTAAAGTTTTGCAAACTTCTTACCTTATGATCTCCTGTTAAGCAGTCAATTTCTACTTCAGAGCAAGCCACCCCATAGGTGAAGTAGTGGAAAGGATTCCCCGAGTTAGTCTCAAAGCTGTAGCCCAGATTGGGTGTTCTGGGAAAGGAAAGAGAAGATACTACGCTTGTATTAACATGAACACACCCCCTTCCCTATGCACGCACAGCTTGACACACAACATCTTTAAACCCCACAAGTTTTTGCATTCAGCTGTTCTCCAAAAAAGTCTATGTGTTTTGAACAATTTGAACCTGTTAATGAAACCCAGGTATTCCAGAACATTTTGTCTCTGGGCTCTCCTCTAGTTTGCCAGGAACCCTTCCGTACTCTTTCTGTACAGCCTAGCAGTGTTTGGTACCATGCTGGCTTCTACACAGTAGAAACAGAGGTAACAGATCTGTCTGGGCTCATGAAGGACGTGAAAGTCACACTCCAAAGGATGTACTGAATTAAAATCCAAGGTCTTCAGGACAGAAGGTTCTGCCTGTGGTGGCTCTTAGACTGTTCACACAAGTTCACCTGCTTACCTTCTCAAGATGAAAGTTAATAAGATCAGTATCTCATGCTAACCTGGGTGCATCTTTAAGCAGCCACTCCCCAACTGCTGGTCCCTTTGAAAGTTCAACAAATGATTTGAGGGAAATGACACTAATAGAAACAAATGCTTCCTTATACATTTCTGAAATTTTCAATCTGGAGTACCTTATACAATTCCACTTTTGCCTGAGTCATATAAATATATGTGTATATCTATGCGTTTGTGCATGTGTATTCACACACCTAGAGTTTACAGTACACTGACTCTGTTATTCTGTACACTACACAGGGATAACATGAGCTGATATGACCATATCTGCACAAAAACAAAACCAATATGGGGCTGAGGGAAAAGGCTTCTCCCAGAAAAAAACACCACCAACTCCCAGAAAAAAACACCACCAATTCCTTTGACCTCTGTTTTTCCAACATTCACCATGCTCATCTGGTTTCACCTTTATAAAACCTTAGTTTCATGAACTCCAGAAAAGTAATAGGAATTTATGAGAAAATGAGTTTATGTATGTGTAGGTCAGATATTAATAACCTACAAAGCACTGGCAAAACATTTCTTCACCACACATATATATACATGTTTATACATATATATGCCTTACACATATATATGTATAATACTTTTATATGCCTTATAGATATATATGTATAATACATATATATTCAATGTAATATCTATACACATATATGAGCCATATATAGTTCATATATATGGCATAGAAATGTTTTTTGTGTATATATGTTTATACATATATATGCCTCATACATATATGTATAATACATATATATGCTTCATACATATATGTATAATACATATATATATTCAATGTAATATCTATACACATATATTAGCCATATATATGTTCATATACATGGCATAGAAATGTTTTGTGTGTGAATATATGTTTATACATATATATGCCTTATGCATACATGTATATAGGCATATACATTCAGTATATGCATAAGGCATATATATTCAGTGTAATATCTATACACATGTATTAGCCATATATATGTTCATATATAAGGCATATAAATGTTTTTGTGTATATATGTTTATACATATCTATGCCTTATATGTGTATAAACATATATATGCCTAACATATATATGCTCATATATATACCTAACATATATATGCTCATATATATACTCATATACACATGAAAATAAATGTTTCATATAAAGAAATGTTTACACATATATATATTTATGCATTTATATAGTCATACATTCAGACAAGCTATTTTAAAGAAACATTGAATTATTTTCCAAATATATTGAAAGAAAATATTCCAAATATCTGTGAAAGAAAAGGTCCTAGTTAAAATTCCCAGAGATGGCTAAAACATGATGACTGACAGTACATATGATTATATCTTTTTACAGCTGCTAAGTCAGATGGGCAGGGTCTCCAGCTATTCATGCTGCTACTAAATTTAAATTTGCAGAAGACATATGCTCTCTTGAAAATCTCCCTGTATTAATAAGGTTCCACTGTATTCTGCATTTTGTAACAAGACCATGTGCTCTAAATCCTCCTCTCTTTCTATAAAAAAATCCCACACAAAGAAGCACGCATAGCTAACAGCAATGCCTAACTCATAACGCTACACACCCTGGTTTCTGCAGGAGAACACTGAGGGAGGAATGGCTAGGTGACTGGCCCTAAAATGTCATCCGTAAGGAAACAGGGGAACAGGTTCAGCAGGACCACTGACTTTCTCAGGCAAAATGGTGCACCCTGAGATCAGAACTAGAAGTCAGGTCTTCTGACACACAGCTGGTACTTTTACCCCTTGGCACACAGCGTGGCTATTCCACATATTTTAGAGCGTCTTTAGACTGAAATTAGTGGAAGTCTATTGAAGAGATAAGAGTTTCAGTGGGGCTGCTCTCTCCTGACCACAGCCTGGCAGGATTTGGTGCTGGAGAGGACCAGTGAGGTTAAGATGACATCGCACTATGAGCTGGGCAAGGACAGCACCATACTTACCTATAAAACCCAGTGGCAGACAAGCTCACTGTGTCCATGTAGGCAGCTGTGACCTGAGGAGAGGAGATGGCCATCAGGCAGGGGAAGTGGGGTTTTCAGGAACCCTGACCTGCCACTAAGCTTTCACCCAACTACCAAAGTCAAGCTACATTCATGTGCTTGGTACATGTGGTATGGAGAGGTCAAAGAAGGCATAGTAAGATGAGTGAGTCTGAGAAAAATGGCATGTTTTCTTTAAATCTATTGAGGAAGATTTGTATTGAGCTGGTTTACGTGGGGTCACATTTGATGTGCTAGTCTTCTGCCCAGTTCTACCACTCCAATACTGGGGAAGGATGCAGAGCTGCCATTGATATTTCCCCCTACTGGAGGAGCCACAGCCTCCCACCTGCGAGAGACTCCCTTGCAGCTTCCCTCTGAGATTTCTGACATTCAGGCCACTGATCTAGAAGTCAGAGAATTGGGCTCATTCTTATTATAAGTACTTGTTCTGTCGTTCCCCAAATCACAGGAATGATAGAAGTCCTTGGGTGATGTTTTCTCCCCACGGTCTCACAGAGGGAATCTCAGTAGACCCAAACTCAAGAGATGGAGATTTGAGGAAAACCAGGCTCATTTGGGACAAAGACGGTGTGGGAGCAGACCCGGTGAGTCAGTACAATCCAATGAGGCACGTTCAGCAGGCACCCATCCTCTCAGGCTCAGGCAGCAAAAACCCTGATTCCCACAAGGCTGTCAAGATCCTGGATCAAAAGCTTCCCTCAAATGACCTCCCTCAGTGATGAAAGCTACAGAGAAAGTGACCCAGGATGAGCATTTATTCGTCCTGTAAAATCACACAAACCACCTCAACTTCTCTCTGCTGTTCTGACTAGAATATTGTCTCCTATTGCTTGTTCGGGGTCGGAATGGAGGCCCTGCTGTCGATTTCCCCCTCCTTTGCAAAAGTGACTTGGATCCGCTCAGACTCACCCAGTCTTCCCAGGAGCCACTGGGATTCTTCTTCTTGTAGGGTTCCAGCCTTTTCAAGATGGTCTGACAAGCCGCCTAAAGTAAACACCCCCCGCACCCCAGACACATCACTCCTCTGCATTCAATAGCCCAGGCAAAACTCGAGGGCCCCAGCAAGGCCACCTCCAAGCAATGCTGTGCCCAGGGTGCCACTCAAACAGCCTGGCCACCCACTCCAAAATGACCGAGGCCCAGGGTAGAATCCACAGGACCTGGCCAACAGGGCCACCACTAGTTCCTGCTTGGAGAGCACTTTCTGACCCAATTCTTAGACTGACAGAGGGTGCAATGTTTGAGGGATCCCAAGGGAGGTGTCTTCTTCCCTCAAACTCCTTATTTGATTACATCCCCCATATGGGAGAGGAGCAAGTGTGGCCAACCTGACTCTATAATCAAATTTCAGCTTCAGCCCATTGTCCTATTGCCAGCTCCAGCACCAGGGAGTATTTCCAGAAGCCTCTGCTTTCCCTCAGTATCCTCACTTCCCCATCCTGCACTCATCCTTCCCAGCTTTGAGGGCAGTGATTATGATTCTTGGGCCTCTCTTTTAGCTTGAGGTTTGGAGAAACAGCATCCTCCTGGATAAGGAAGCCAGAGGCCTGGCCAGAGCCAAAGAGCCTGCAAGGAACCCTTCTAGCTCCCACCCAGGGAGACTCTCCAGGCCCACAGCTCTGGACTGGCCCTCTGCTCTGCGGGCTGCCATGGGCTCCTTACGTAGACGGCTTGTCCATTGAGGTCAGCGCTGGCAGAGGCAGCCGTGGGAGAAGTGTTGGGCACAGTGTTAGTGCTTGTCTCACTGATATAAATCTTAGAGGTGGGGATTTTCAGAGCTCTGCTGGCCACCTGCGAAAAGAGAAGACATTGCCCTCTAGGGAAGGGGTTATCATGGGCCTTGGCTGCGTTCTCTCCAAGACAGGATTCACATTCACTGTTACAGGCAAGAAAACAATTTTGTAAGCTCTAATCCCATTGTCTGGGATGTCCTCACATCTGGCTGAATTTGAAGGAGCACTTGTTGGAGCGGTTTGGTTGGGTAAAAGCATTCATAAACTGACAGTGCTTTTTACACTAACACTCACTTTTCACAAGATCCAATCTGGCCAGTCTCCATGCGCCAAGCAGATGTGCTGACTCTAATCCAGCTCATTGTCCTCACCTCACTCTGAGGAGTCTTTTGGAATGTGGGAAACCTTTACACACACAGTGTGCCCACCTCACACACTGAGAATGTTGGTAATAGCAATGTCCTCAGAGGTCACCTGGCCAACTCCTTTGCACAGTTGAGGAAACTGAGTTCAAGTGCAGGAAAAGACTTGCCCGAGGCGACACGGACATAAGCAACAGGGCCGGGGACAGACCCTGGGCCTGCTTCTGCTCTGGTAGGTCCCACTGCTCAATTTCTTATACCACTTCCCCTAACAACAGACACCACGGTGCTAGAGAGGGCTGCTCACCTGGACCATTTTGGTATGAAGGCCTTGGCCCATCTCGGTCCCTCCATGGGTCAGCAGCACAGAGCCATCTGTGTACACATGAAGCAGGGCTCCTGCCTAGGGAAAGAGAAGGATGCCAGACACAAAAGTCAGTAAATTCCAATTGAGTAAAGTTTGGGACCAAAGGTATGGAGCCCAGGAACAAGAGAACCAGCAGCATTTTGGATGTAAATCTCAGACAAAAATTAGGGCAGTATGAATCTCATGATTTAATTAGATAGCACATCAGTAGTTTGCAGAAGGTTTTCATATGTTTCTCTCTGTTTCTCTTGTTCAAATATCTGTCCTCACCCTGTAAGTGAAGAAACAGAACGAGAAAAATAGAGTAGCTCTCACCAGTCCGATAGTAAGGAAAGGTAAGAACTAGAGGTTGATCCCAGATCTCTGAGTCTCACTGCCCATGACCTACTGGACAAACAGGACTGTGCAAGTTCAACTTTCATTTAAATAGCAAAGAGTTCCTTCAGTAAGCCCTGTTACCAGTGACAAGGAAATTTCCCTTGCAATGCTGTAAACAAGGGGGAAATGGGGTCCCAGTCCAGCGGAGATAGACACAATTCTATAAAGCAATTACCTGATTCAGAAAAGGAATTGTGAAGCTTATTCCAAACTTGGTGGGAATTATGCACAATCCTCTCTTTTTCCAACAATTCTCCCTAGAGAAAAGGAACATTCTTATAGAAACTTCTCTACCATGTTGAGGTCATGAACATCTTTGGATCAAGCCAAAACAGGACATCCTTGGGGTTACCCATATAGTCTTGTAATAATGGAACTATGCCCCAGTAATGTAGACAAAGATGACAACGGTCAGCTGGTGCACAGCCCACTCCGGGCGGTCTTGACTTTAGTGTCAACACTCTTCTTCCCTGAGTGCAACTCGTACTGGGTCAGAGTGGCTTGGTGGTCTTGGGCTGTTATCTCCAGGAGGCACTGTGCTTCGCCAACAATAATAAAGCCTTCTCTGTGCTTTATATTTAATTGTCTGAATAACTGTGAGGAGGACAGAGCCAGTCCAATTATGTCCACTTTTCAGATGATGAAACTGAGGCCCAGGGAGATGGAGTGACTCCAAAATTCATATTTATAGATTGGTGTCAGAGGCAGGTGTATAACTGTGATGTGTTGGTCCTGGGCCAGTGTTTTTTACAATATGGTGTGCCCAGAAGGTTTACAAATGCTTAAAGATGAACTACAACTGATAGACTATGACACTGATTGCAGGCTGTGAGCCCACCTGCCCCGGGCTGAAGATCATTATAAGATCTTAAAGAGATGGCTATGAATGAGTTGGCAAACTCAGCAGTCTCATAAGTTATCCATTAAATTATTAGCTTCCTATTTTGGGGTCAGGAGAAAGGCTGTAGGATATGAAACCCAGGAAAGCAACTGGACCCCTACTCCCAGTGCTTACTTGTTGAACTTGTCAACCTCACTCTTCCGAGCATGATACTGAGAGCTTGCTAGGCATTCTTCCCAGCACCTGGGCAAGGTGAAACCCTCAAGCTTCTGGTTGAAGTGTGTCAGGTCCCCTTCTCTGTACAGGTTTTTCCTCCGCACCTTCCCAAAGAGAGAGATACAGAGGCCTTGTTGGTGGCAAGAAATGGTGGAGGTGGGGGCAGCCCCCATGGGAGATGCCCAAGATACAAAGCGACTCTCCCCCTAAGTAGTCCAAACCACTCTGACTTGTGCTACCAAATACTCCGCTTACCTCCTCTGCAGGCATCCCACAGGTCACTGCAACTTCACTCATCCAATACTCGGCAATGAGCATCCCCTGGGGACCCCCAAAGCCCCGGAAGGCCGTGTTGGAGGGAAGGTTGGTTTTGCACAGCCGCCCAGTGCCCCGGATGTTGGGAATTTTATAGCAGTTGTCCATGTGGAATAGAGCTCGTTCCATAATCTGAAGCAGAGGAAACAAAAATGGGAGAGAACAGTGTGCTGATTTCATTGGCTCCTCAAAGTAGAAACTTTGAGGGCCTTATCCATGGCCTGCCTTTCCCCTCTGCACCACAGCTGCTCTTCTTCAGCCCAAGTTATTTCTCCCCCAGGATATTGCAGCAGCATTTTTGTTTTTGTTTTTGTTTTTGTTTTTGTTTTTAGACGGAGTCTCGCTTTGTTGCCAGGCTGGAGTGCAGTGGCGTGATCTTGGCTCACTGCAAGCTCCTACTCCCTGGTTCAAGCGATTCTCCTGCCTCAGCCTCCTGAGTAGCTGGGATTACAGGCATGCACCACCACACCCAGCTAATTTTTGTAGTTTTAGTTGAGACAGGGTTTCAACATGTTGGTCAGGATGGTCTCGATCTCCTGACCTCGTGATCCACCCACCTTGGCCTCCCAAAGTGCTGGGATTGCAGGGATGAGCCCAGCCTGCGGCAGCATCTTTACTGAACCTTATCCACCTACTAGTCCCCTCATTCAGCTCCTCTGTGGAGAAGCCTTTCCCAGAGTCTCTAGTTGGAACTAATCACTTGCCTCTTTTTGAAAACAGTTAACTTTTAAAAATTCATTGTAAATTAGTTAATAAAAATGAATGAAACCACCATGAAAGTTGTACTGCAAATAGTTTGAAGTGTCGCATACTTCTATAAGTCATGGTATGAAAAACAGTAGCCTCTTCCACTTTCCTTCCTTCCAGTCTCCAGAAGCAACTACTTGCAATTCTCATAGCTTATCATTTATCAGCTATTTAGATTAACTTACACATCTCTAGATAATGTGGCTACATTGCTACGTCTTGACTTTTTCAGCTTTAGACTTTTACGTTGTCTTTCTTTTATGGAAAAGGAGAATTTAGTTTTGGCTTAGCCCCCTCCCTCCAGCCCTCACCCCTACCAGCTTCCTATTTCCCAGTATAGTTGTATTTTGATCAGATCAATAGTCAACTTAATATTATAACTCTGTAAACATTACTTACTGCTGAACCATGTAGTTACATTACAATTTCTTCTCCCTTGATAATATTTTTTTCACCCTGGAGTTAAGAATTGTCTTTATTTTTTCATCTGCTTCATTTTGTATGTACTTATTACTAAGCCAACTTAAAGTTTTCCCCAATTCTAAAAATCTGCTCCTAATGCATTTTCTCTTTTCCCTCCTGAGCCCTGCTTCCAACATGCTCAAGCACATCAGATTTTCATCCTAGAGCCATCTGGCCTACTCCAATTTAAATTGGCTGCCCACTAGATCTGCTATTCAGCTGTTACCTAAGGATTTAAATCTGAAATCCCCCAGTGGGATCCAAAGGGGTAAAGGGTTTCATCCCAGGGATTCCCTTCATCTCTCTCCATATTGAATCTCCTGTTCCTGGATTCCATGCCTTTCCCTTTTTAAATTTTACTCCCTCATTTTGTTGGAGTACATCCTTTAATATCTTCATAAGAAAGGGTACACAAAGAGGAACATCTTTGACACCTTGCATATCTGAAATGTCTTTATTCTACTTTCACCTTTAATTAATGATTCCACTGTATATAGAATCCTAATTTGGAAGTAGGCTTTCCAGTTTTTCTCAGCAATTTGAAGGCATTTTACCAGTACATTCTAGCTTCCTGCTATTGAGAAGTCCAATCAATGACTTTCTAACTCTTGGAAAGGGTTCTGTTTCTTTTTCCTGAAAATTGTGAAATCTTCTCTTTGTCCTCAGGTTTCTAAATTTTATAATGTTATAACTTGGCATAGGTCTATTTTCTTTCATTGTGCTGGTTATTGAATGTGCTGTTTTAATCCCAAAATGTATGCCCATCAGTTTTGGAAAATTTTTTGAATTATTGATAGCTCCCCCCTCTCTGTTTTTTCCATTCTTTCTTTCTGAAATGATTATGATTTGAACCTCTTGAACTAATCCTCAATTTTTTTTGTATTTTCTCTATTTTTTCACATTATTTCCCATTTTTGGGAAATTTATCAAGTTCCTTTCAACCCTTCTGCTTTCATAGTGTCAATTCATGAGAGCTCTTTTTTATTCTTTGACTGCTCCATTTTAGTAACATTCTGTTCCTTCTTTAAATTGTAATATCTCATCTCTCTGGAAAGATCAATGGCAGTTTTCATGTTTTTGTTGTTTGTTTTATTTTGGTTTTAGTTTATTTCCCTATGTGTACTCTCTCTCTCCCACAAGTTGCTTTACGTGTCTTTGATAATTTCAGTCTTACTCATCCTAGATGATTTTTCTATGTCTCAATTAATTCCACTTTTGCTTTCCCTATTACTTTATCAACTTGCATTTCTGTTTCTTTTATCATCTATTTCCCCAGCCATATTGTGAATTTCTTGAAGGCAGAAACAATATCATATCCTTCTTCATGTGGCCACCCTAGGTACTTAATAAATATTTGCTGGATTGAATTAAAAATCTTGTAAGATGTCTAGGGACAAAGACTGTTTTTCAATGTGATTTTTTCCCATGCCAAAAAGCATGTCTTATACGTGGTGAGAACACGAAATAAGAACACTTCTTTTTTTGAACAATTTTAACCCTAGATCTGAAGTGTGAAGTTTTCTAACTGAGCCCATTAGGCAGCCCCTAGCAGAGAGGAGTGGGATCCAAAGGGGTAAAGGGGAACGTTGGCTTTTCCTGAAAACTTTAACTTTTTTTTTTTTTTTTTAGAGATAGACTTTTGCCATGTTGGCCAGGCTGGTCTTGAGCTCCTGACCTCAAGTGATCTGTCTACCTCGGCTTCCCAAAGTACTGAGATTATAGGCATGAGTCACCGTGCCCAGCCACCTCTTTTTTTTTTTTTTTTTAAAAAACAAGAATCTATACATATGTAACAACTATGGTTACAAAATTAAGATTTTAAAAACTGTAAAAAGTAGTACCACCAAAATAAATTTGTTAATTCTGACAATTGACTTTATTTCATCCAAACCCTCTAGTTATTTTTCTAAACAACTCAATACTCCAAGTTCATCTGCTAAAGCTGTGACCACAATAATGAGGAGTGTGTAGCTCCCACTTCTGGTCTTACCCTGGTCATTTATAATGTGACTGGAAGAGCATCAACTGAGACTAAATATGAAAGCACACGATAATTACTGATGACATCACTCAGGATTCTATCTTGCGAGAAACTCAGCATTGATGTATAATACGGAGACTTCCACTTCCATACTCCCACTAAGTACCACTAGAAACTCTGGAATTCTATACATTTATTTAAAATCAACCACAACAACAATGTAAGAATACTCTGAAAAGTGGAGGAAAAAAAAGGCAGTCCCAGGAGGGACTTTGCAACCCAAGGAATGACATGATGGTGAGTTCCAGGGGTTTCCTTTTTGCCTCATCTATATATCCCAGACTTGGGGCAGGAGCTGGCAATCCAGAAATGCCAATGATGACAGAGACCAAAAAGCTCACCCTATATCCCAAATCCTTGTATCTCTAGTCAAAAGACCAGGAAAAGGGCAATCTAGCAAAACTAAACACTTTTAGACAATAAGTACTCCAGTCAAACATCACACACACAAAAATGTAGTCTCATTCCTACTCACACTGGCAAAAGCTCAGTGGGAGCCTAAACTTTCACATTCATGAGGCTGTTATGAGATACCCCAACACTCCTGCTGGGATGGTGCCAGAGGAGACCAGGAAGGGAGTTGAGACTTTCATTGCTGATGGCCAGTCATAAGGCTGTACCTACACCTTATGATTGAGTCACTGGAGAACACATCTACTTCCCCACCCACCTAACAAAGACACACCACTCTTCCCTTCCATTCTGGTGGTGTCAGAAAAAGTCTAGTGAAGAGTCAAGACTTTTAGCACAAGCCAGTGGTAAAGAGACCACCCGCACCATGATGTCCATGGACAGCACTTGGAATGTAGATCTCCCACCTCTGCCCAGAAGTAAGGAGTTGTTCCTAACCTGAGTATCAACAAAGGCCAAGTGGAAGATCAAGATTTCTACCCCCACCTAGCAGTGATGAGGTGGCATCCACCACTGCTAAAGCAAGGTCAGAAAGAGCCAATTAAAATAGAAGGCTTAAATAAGATCCAAGCTCTCAGAACATCATTACACCATCATCATCACCGCCATCATCTGTACATTAGTGGTGGGTTTCTCCAAGTTTCAGTGAAAAACCACTTGTCATACCAAGTGTCAGGAAGATCTCAAACTTCCTGAATAATAAAAGATAACCAAGAGATGCCATCACTGAGGTGACAAAGATGTTAAAATTATCTGACTATAGTTTTAATGCAGCCATGGAAAAAAAAATGCCTCCACAATCAATTGTGAACACACTTGACACAAATAAAAGGCTTCCAGAAATAAACAGATAGTTTCAGCAAAGATGTAGAAGATACAAAGAAGAACCTAATGGGCCTTTTAGAATTGAAAATGCAACAACCAAAACAAATAGCTTATTGGGTGGATTCAACAGCAGAAGAAAGGGGGCATAGAAGAGAATCAGTGAACTGAAGAATAGAATAAAATATATCATCCAGTCTGAACTATATTGGGAATATGGAATAAAAAAAAAAAAAAAACAGTTTCAAGGACCTTTGGGACTATAACAAAAGACCTAACATTGAAGCCACTGGAGATCTGGAAGAAAAGGAGAAAAAGAGAAGAGCATAAAAGTACTCAAAGCAATAATAACTGAAAAGTTTTCAAGGTTTCAAGATACATAAACCTACAGATTCAAGACGCTTAGTGATCGTGAAACAGGATAAGCCTGAAGAAATCCATGATAAGTCCTATCATAATTAAACTTCTGAAAACTAAAGACAAAGGAAAAAGTCTTGAAAGCACCCAGAGAATATGACAACTTACCTATAGGGGGAGCCTAATTAGAATGAGAAAGGATTTCTCATCAGAAGCCACAGAGACCTGAACGAAGTGGCAGTTTCTCAGGTGCTGAAAGAAACGAACTGTTAACTCAAAATTTAATGCCCAG